AATGAAGCGATAAACTTTGCTGCATTAGAAAGTCTCTTCTTCCTTCGCGGCTATCCTCCTTTTTTTCCCGACGCGTCCGGCCCGCTCGAAAACAAAGGCACCGGACACCGATCTGGGACCGTACTCATTAATTCTACAAGGTTGCTCGATAAAAATCCGACGAGCCCCCTCGACAAAGTACGCGCGGGGCGCGTATTCCCGACTTGCTTTCAATAACAAAGTCAGCTGTGTAATCCAAGATGCTGCGCTATAGAAGCGCGATCGTCACGCGATCGGACCTCCTTGCTCGAGGGACGCGTTCCTCCGTATTTCGTGGGCCCGTCCGGCCCGAGGAGCGTCAAACTTCTAGTATTACACCGACTGCACACGAGCGGATTAGCTCGCGACAAACAACGTGTCGACGGGTGTTTCGCCGGCGGACGCCCTCGGTTTCCGAGAATGAACGAGATGGAACGATGGGAACTCGCGATGAGACGCGCATCGATGCTCCACCGACATTGTTTACGGCCTAATCTCGCTTGTAAATCTTGTCGCTTCTCTGTTTTGCGAAGTACGAGACGAACACAATCTTTCCTCTGTCTCTCTCTCCTCTCATTCGCCGGAAGACAAGAGAATGACGGACATCCACGTCATTTTTAAACGAGAGGGACGAATATCTGTCAAATGCGCGGTGAAATATTCTTTCGATTAGAATGTCTCTTTAACGAAGATTTAATCTCTCTTTCGATCGTCGAATTCCTGCCAATTGTCTTGAGCGGTGAAGACTTTGCGATGCGTCTCGTGCGTGGGATATCGTCGCGAGCATATCAAGTGGCGGGCTTCGGCGTAATTCGGACTTCTGCGTAATTCGATTTTATAACTTCCTCGCGGCCCTTTCATCCTACCTTCAAAGTCGCGTGTGCCGCGACTGCGAAAGAGTAGTGGACATATTTTGCGTTTTATTATGGCAGCTTCTAATCTCTTTAAAAAAAAAAAATTCATATACAAAATATTTATCCTTTTCATAAATTAAATTTTATTAATTAAATAATAAATTAAAAATTCGTATTTTTATATTTATCTGGTCGAATTGAGTTTGACTTTGTGATTACCGTGTAGGAGAGATGACCGCTGTATCAAATTTCAACTAAATTTCTCGAAATAGAGGGAGGAGGAAAAGGGGGCTATTTATTACAGACTGTCGTAATTTGTTTTAGTTTTACCGAGCCGTCTCCTGTCTCGGGACCGTAACGATCCTTCTTTCTCCCGGGCTTTTTTTTCCGAGAGAACGAGACACAGAGCGGAGCGGTCCTAAAATTATTCTTATCGGTCAAGAAGAGACAAGGTGCCTCTGTTCTACGGGAAGATTCTCCGGTCGTCTTTCTCATCTACCCGCAGACGCGAGATGCGTAAAGCTCCTCGTCCTCTGTTTCGTCGCCTTCTCGTTCTCTTAATAAGCAACAACGCAAATTCCTATTCGCCGCGACAAGATTGAAGCTTTGTGTTCGCCTCACTCTCGGATCGGGTCCGCCCGTTATCCAGTCTCGATAACGCGACTTTGTCGTAAATTATTTGCCGGATCATCTATAATCGTCTATCGTAATCTCGAATGCGTAGCTCGTGCGTGTAACTACGTGAAATCTTCGATCTTTGCGAATCTTTGGCAAGTGTATTGCCGGCTACAATTTTTCTCCGAGAGATCGATTTACGGCTTCATCAAGATTATCCGGAAACCGTAAATAATTACCGTTCCGGGATTATTATTCATGCTATTGTCGCGCACCGTGAAGAGTCATTTGTCAAGCTGTTTTAAGACACGACGGCAGGTGGATCGTTCGCAAACGGAGACGACCTCTGAGAGTGCTTGATTCAGGTGTCGATCGGGATCGATAAGAAATATTTTGATGCTTTTTTTCGCGAATCGACTCTTCATTCATTGACCTTACCTCACATTGATTACGTATGCGATTCGCGTCGTGCAGTTGCATCGTGTGTGACCGCATCAATCTGCATTCGAATCTTCGCCCGCCTCATCCTCTCCCCTCCCCGCCTTCCTCTTCCGTCTCATCTCGCCGTTTATTTTTCGTCTGTACCTTTCTCTCTTATTTCATTCGTTTTCGTCTATTATTTTCTACTGCTTTGATTCCGTTCTCTCTCTCTCTTCTTTTTCTTTTATACGCGGCCTCGTCTCTTTTGTTTGCACCTCGCGCTTTCGGACACCCGCGGACTCTCCCACCGATCTCCGGTGGTTCCCTATTAAATCCCGCTCGTATTGTATTCAAATTGGTTCGAGCTTTCGCGTTCTTCCTCCACCTTCGCATCGCTCTCTTTCCGGTTGTTCTCTCTGTTACAAGTTGTCGCTTATTAAAAGGCCCATTAACGGATAGTCGGTACTTGATATTCTTACTCGGTTTACGAAAATTTTCCGCATATATTTCGTATAATATATAATAATCCAGACGATATATAAAAATTACAATTTGCAAACTGTGTGCTTATGTAAAGCGATAGCCGCATTTGAAGCTTCGATTATGATACTTTCTCATAGAAAGACATGAGATCTCGTTGATCTCTGTCTTACGCGACGGCAGAACCTAATCTCGTATACCGTGTCGGTGTAGAACGACGTCCGGGAATAAGATGCGGTTCACAGAGAGTCGCCGCGCATTTCGCCCTAAGAAAGGGAGCGAGCGTTAATTCGGCAAATTTCGACCAATTGCGTAATTCCGAAAAGAGTCGTTGACCGTCTGGACGAGTTCAGGGTGAGACGAGCGAAAAAAAATCGCGCCCGGGGGCGGACAGAGAAGCGGGGAGGAGGGAGGATGATGCGCCTTTACACATACACATACATACATACATACATACACACATGCACCTCCTTTGCGTCCAGCGCAATACCGGGAATCTTTTCTCCCAAGTTGGCAGTTGCGTCACGTCGCGGCGACTACAAAAGCGCCGCGATTCTTCCTCCCCCCCCCCCCTTCGGTCCGATGCAACACACAACACTTGCATACCATACTTATTTCGTGCCCGAGCATTTCATGAGCGCGCGTCTCGCCGTTATACAGGGTGAGTTGAATTAATTAAGCCATCGTTCGAGTAGGCGTTTGTCGACGGTTTCTTCGCGAAGCGTCTCTTTACGAAGATTTATCCTATAGACTTGGCGAATACACACGATCATTTCATACCTTTCTAGTTATCGAGATACAAGCAGCTCTCCTTCCGTCTGTCGCTGTCTTAAATAATAAAGATACGCCCGCGCGCACCGGACTTCCTCTCTCGAACATTGGCGCTTGTTACGCCTTCTGGAGAACGATTTTTGTCTTGTAAGACACCGCCAGCAGATGCGACTTCCGTCTTTTCAAGCGTCAAGTGAGACAATGCTGTCTTTTTTCGCGCCAGTGAGAAAACAATGCTATAACGCAGTTTGCCTCGCCCCGATTAATTTTCCCTCGAGATTACACTGTTACGATGATGCTGCGCCGGCGAAACAAGCCGATCAAGTCCCGCTCTTAAGTCAAAGTCCCGAATCATTCGCGCCGAGTCCCGAGCGTTTATTTTTAGCAGACGTATTAACGTTAATTCCGATCAAAGTAAAAAAAAGTCTCCCTCTCTTCTCTTTTTCCTAGCGAGAAATAATACCGCGATACTCGCTTCTTGTTCTGCGAGCGAGAAGCGCGCCGATGACGTAGTATCTCGCGAATTGCTCTCGAGGACGATTGTCGATTCGTTAATTGCACCGGCTTCCAGAGACTACCGAGAATCTGAGGGATTCCTTAATTGCGTTCTCGTCTGGTAAGCCGGCGAAATTGCGTCGGCGACGTACTCGCATCGCATCTCTTGCACGTCTCGCTGATATTTATATTCGCACTATTTGGATAATAAACGAAAAAATATGCGTGTATTCAATGCTTACATTTTACATTATTATCATCGTGACTTTGCCAATGGCAAAATTTGTGAAAAATCTTTGCGAATTACAAGATCCTGTAACGTCTCATTATTTATCGGCATTTATTAATTTATTCGCTAGCAATATGGATTTCCGTGAAACAGAAATTTGCAATTTTCGCAATTGGCGCGCATTTTCATGCAAATTGGCTCGGTTCGAGGAATAATAAAGTGGCCAGCGAATGTAAATAACTCTTAATTACGTCCGGCGCGTTAATTATCCAACACATGTGCTTGCGAAAATTTGGTGAATCTTGATTTAATCCTGGACACAAAAGAAAGAATCATTCTCTTTCCAACAATCTATTTCTATATATACAATGTTCACCTTGCGAAGACAAAGAAGAGAGAATCTTATTCTCGCTTTTCAAGAGATCCGATTCGATTAAGCAGCTTTTCCTTAAATCCATTATTATAAGAAAAATGGATTCGCGCGCGACAGATGGAGAAACACGCTTTCGCGCAATGAGAATTGATTTAACACGATGGGGTAGCACAAAAGTATACGAGAATCTGAATGTAACATCGCGGGGAGAGAGAGAGAGAAAGTGAGAAAAATCGCAGATTGAAGTCTAGAATAAAGAAGAAGCGAGTGTATTTCCCCGTCGAACATTGCAACGCGCGATGATTTACGATGGAGCGAATAGAGAATGCATCGCGTTGCACTCTGCTGAATAACGTCTTCCGACGATACCTCTTCCCTTCTTTTTTCTCCCCCTCCCCCTCCTCATTGTATTACATCACCGCATTGTTCGCGTCAGTGATTTCAGTTTATCCTTGATTTTTCACGTTCCACATCAACACGGCTCGTAATTTGTCGCTCATAAACACCTCGTCCTCTTTCTTCATTGTAATAAAAACTATCTCTTGCGAGAATTATTAAATTAATTATTAATCGTAATTATCGTAATTATTAAATTTCCGCACTTATATATTTCGCTTTTTCTATTTCCTTATTATAACGAATCAATATTGTGTGCGTTATGTGCGAAATATTCGTGCGTGCGACAAACTCGCTTTTAGAATTAATAATTCTAAACTTACCGGATTGTTGTCTACGACTGTTCCAGGTGAACCGGCCATTGACGATGAAGAAGGAGGGCATCCAGACGAGAAACAGGAAGCTCTCGTCAAAGAGCAAGAAGAAGAAGGCCGGCGGCTGTCTGGGCCTCGGCGGTGTCATGGGCGACATGATCAAGGCCAGTGGACACCTCGATCTCGATAACAAACCCTTCCACTCCGGATTCGGCGCGCCGATGGGTAAGTCAAATTCTCCCCAAAAGCTTGGAACTTTATCTATCTCAAATCTGTTGTATTCAAAACGAGGAAACGTCAAATAATTCCCCGTTATAAATATAGGTACATAACTCTATAAGATACTTCAAATCTCTCGAGAATAATCGGTGAAAAACTTTTAATCAAGATTGACAACGTCACAACTGATACAAGTATTTGCAGAACATTTTTCGCGATTTTATTTCATTTGTATAAACTAAAAAAATCGAACAAACGTCTTTCTCTCGAAATTTCTTACGCGAAAAAGTATTAATAGAGCGACGTTTCTCGCGTTATCGTTCCAGGTACGTCCCAGCATCATCACACGATGCATCCGGCGATGCAGCATTACATGTATCACACGGGTGTCGGCGTGGCCGGAGGTCTTCATCAGGGATTTGCGCCACCGGCGCCGCCCCCCATCCACCCGCATTCGCATTCGCATTCCCATTCTCATCACATGACGAGTCTTCAGGGTCTGCAGCTGGCTACGACGAACGCGATGGTGAGTGCGCGATCTATTACCCTCATCGGCGCGATCGACCAAAGGCCTCGGCCGCCGATAATCGATTTATTTAGCGGAATTTGTTGATCTCCCCCTCCTTCACCTCCTCCTTTCTTCGGATCGT